AAGAAAGCTCACAGAGCAACTTAAACAACAACTTATATCACTTTTTTTCCTAAATTTTCTGACAAGTTTAGGTTTTTTAATGCTGTCAATAAACTCAGCCTAAATCCGGCCCGAACCCTGCTCAGCTTTTTCACAACACGACCGGAATCATTAACATCGGAATTCAAGAACGTCGAATAATTTAAATCACAGAGCAACTTATAAACAACAACACGACTGAAATCATAATTCATTAACATCGGAGTTGAAGATAAAGATAACAGCTTTCGAAAAATGGTCAAACAAAAAACACAAGAAACAGCAAACTGAAGGTACATACGTTGAGCCCAAGAACAGAAGGGGAGGCTTTAATGGAGATCGAATCCCTAAGAGCAAGAGAGGCTTGTTCAATCGCAATCCTCGACAGGGGCTGCTCGCCGATACCTGTATGAGCTAAAACAGCGACCCCATTAAAGCATAACAACAGATTAAAGAGTAAAAACACCACTCTCATAGAAGAGAAGAGGGTCTTCATTCTTCAGTCGAGTGTGCTGAGATTCTGCGCGCGCGAGCGAGCACGCGAGAACGAGGGAAAAGGGAGTGAGTGATTAACTTTGGTGTGCGATTTTTTTCAGGAATTCTTGCAGGTTTTGAAGGGATAAAAAGGAGTTTTGAGCAGAAAGAAAACAATGGGTGAAGATTTGAAGGTGGCTACAGATATTCGAGGGAGTAAATGGAGCTCGACTTGTGGCAGAAGTCCTTGCAGTTGGAAATCCTTGGCTAACTTTCAAATAACATAATTAAATAAGAAAAAAAAAACAATAATTTTAAAGTGTTAGTTAAGAAATTAAGTACTCCCTCATTTTTTTAAATAAATGTCGTTTTGACTTTTTTTATTCATCCATTTTGCTATGTATCTAAATAAATGTCGTTTTGACTTTTTTGATTCATCCATCCATTTTGCTATGTATCTAGACATATTAATGTCTAGATACATAACAAAATGGATGAATCAAAAAAGTCAAATCGACATTTATTTAAAAAAGGAGGTAGTATAACTTAAAGTTATAAAGAAAATGGAGTAAATAACATGCCTAATGCGGAAGTTCTGGTGGGGATAAAAAAAATGGAGTAAATAAATTATCTTGGATAAAAATGGAATTCTTTGTGCCAACCGAAACATAATGGAGGGCTTGGTTTTCGAGATGTGAAGAACTTCAATCGGGCGATCTTGGCAAAACAGACTTGGAGAATTCTCACTCGACCAAATTCCCTCGTAGCGACGGTTCTGAAATCCAAATATTTCCCAGATAAAAACATACTGGAGGCAGTAGCAAGACCATATTCCTCTTTTCTGTGGAAAAGTCTCATGTGGGGATGAGCTTATCAAAATGGGGGTACGTTGGAGGGTAGGAGATGGTTCCCAAATTAAAATTTTCTCAGATCCGTGGATCCCTCGACAGTATCATTTACATACTTTTACTCCACCTTTATTGGGCCTTGAGAAGGTACAGGACCTCATTGGTGTTCATGGGAATTGGAATAGAGACTTGATAAATTTAGCTTTTCTTCCTATTGACGCTGAAAAAATTCTATCAATCCCTTTGAATTATCCTGCCATGACAGATAAACTAATATGGCATTTGGAAAAAAAGGGCACTTATTCAGTTCGGAGTGGGTATAGCCTTCTTCAAAATTTAATGGCTCATGATCCGACCTCGAGTACTAGTGGGTTTGCGACATGGTGGCGTTTGTTATGGCATTTACGCCTTCTGCCAAAAATTAAATTATTTCTGTGGCGTTTATCACACCAAGCGATCCCTTCTGGAGAAATCCTCCGTCGAAGACATACTGATTCAAATGTTAATTGCCCTAAATGCGGGTGTTGGGAGTCAGATTATCATGCTTTCGTAAAGTGTTGGTGGGTGAAGAAGCTACGGAAAAGATGTGGGTGGTGGGATGCGATCTCAAAAGGGCGGAGTCAACATTTATGTTTGAAGCTTGTGAGCATTTCCGAGGGCTGTAATGAAGCAGACTTTAGGTCTTTTGTTATATTGCTATGGCTTGTGTGGCAGGATAGAAATCTTATTTTGAATGGTGATCGTCTGAGTGATATTGATGTGATAATCGATAAAGGAGCCAGGTGGATGGAGGACTACGACAAGGCCCAAGCTTGTACAATTTTTGATGTGACTGGAGGTTTCGTTGAGGATCGTTGGGCTTGGAAAGGTAGGAAAGGAACTGTGAATGGTTGGTATCTTTACTGTGATGCAGCGGTTCGAGATTCGGATATTGGTTTGGGAGGTTGGATCAAAAATTCAGAAGGACTTGTGGTCGCCGTTTTTGCATCTCATATGCCAGGTTTGTTCTCTCCAACTTTAGCTGAAGCTCTCTCTATTCAATACGGGTTACGGTTTGCTGTCATGTTGGGAATGAAGATTCATCAAGTTTCTACAGATAGCCTTGAAGTTGTGAAAGGATTGATAGCGAACGAGTCTTTCCACCCTATTGAAGGCATTCTCTCGAATATACGAACACTCTTGGATTTAGTAGAATGTGGACTTTGTTCGCATACAAATCGTTTTCATAATGAGATTGCTCATCCCATTGCAAAGTGGGCGGTAGAATAAAAAACAACAACAATGTGATCGGATTGTATCCTAATACTTTTTTCTCCTTTGTTCTGTAAAAACTTGAAGGTTTAATGAGGCAATTAGCCTCTTTTATTTCCAAAAAAAAAAAGTTATAAAGAAAAAGGGATATTTTTTTTAAATATTATATTATTATTTTATTTAAAACGATATCGCACATTTTATATATAATAACTTTATAGAGAGATGAAGTTATTTATTAATAAATAATTTTATTAGTGTTCACATAGTATTAATGGATAACTTAGTTTTTATTATAGAGATAAATATAATTATTCATTTTATATATACGTGAAATCGAAAAATCTTTTAGACAACACATTCCTTTTTAGTAAGTTTTAGTCGTGGGTTTCGTTCTATTTTTGGAAAGTCTTGACTATCTACATGGATGCCACGGGTTATTCACATTTTTCATTAATAATGTAACGTGTCTGTGTACGTATCATTCATATACACTAATATATATAATACCATTTTAATTGAATTATATTCAATTTATTTAAAGGTTTCGTAAAAAAATAGTTTGCTTTCATTGTGCCGTGAGTCCATCAAATTTATATACCACTAGTATTCGACGTGTGCATTTGCACATGTATAAATAAAGTATTGTGAGTTATTTGTATGCATATAATGATTAATAATTTTTCTTGTACTTTTTTGCAGGCCAAATTTACAATTAAAGGAGCTTAAATATTTATTTTTTTAAAATTGCGTTTATCATATTGGATGTAACGTATATTGTGGTATGTATTTTTTTGTAAATTATTTATTATTTATTTAGGAATTTCAAATACGTTTTTTATTTTTCAAAATAAGTTAATTTAAATGTAACCACAAAAATAACATCTAATCACGTTAAATAGTCAACACATTATATGGTCAGCTGTGAATAAATTAAAAGTTTAAAATAATTTTTGTAATTTTAAAGTGATTAGTCCGTTTATTATCTAATAATTGAATGAGAGGTTAAATAAATAAAAAGTAACGGTTTTTGGAGGGAAAAGTTATATCGCTACATAGGTATAATTTAATATGTTTTATTAAATGCTAATGAGCCAACAATTATATATATAGATTACAGACACGCAGTAATGCTAAGGAACCAACAGTTGGCTCCGTTATGGAGCCAGCAACCAATTGGACAACTCCATGTGGGGCTATCCCACATTAAAGTATTGTGGGACAACCCCACATGGAGTTGTCTCATTGGTTGTTGGCTCGTAACGGAGCCAACTGTTGGCTCTTTAGCATTATTGGACAGACACACCAAATAAGATTTTTGTTTTCAAAAACAATTAAAATACCAACATCTAGGTCTAAGGTCTTCAATTTTTTTTAAACACCTGAATTTTATAAATTGTTTGATCTTAAATTTTGTACATTCAAATTATATATAATAATAGTGAAATTAAATATAAAATATTTTAAGAATATCCATAATAAATAACGCACAAACATTCTTCGTCGTTCATAAATAAATAAAAAAACATGGTCGTATTTTTTTTTTTTTATGTGAAGGTGTGTATGTGTAGTATGATGCATAATAAATTAATTGGTCATTGGATGATACTTATTTTAGAAGTGAATTAATTATTAATTAATTAGAGGATAAGTAAAAGTGACTGAACAGCTTAAAACAAACATTAAAAATTAATGAAGATTATCTCATTCGTTAAAGTTAACGGAATTAACCAACATAAAGCGCTCCACCAATTAAAAAAGCGATGCTCCATTCTTCCAAACAAAAAAGGGAAATTTTCACGCTTCCGATCAGAGTTGCAAAATATTATATTTTTACGAGTGGAACAATTTTAATTGTATTTATATCTAAAATCTAGGATTTTATTAGAGATATACTTCAAGGGGTCGTTTACTTCGAGGGATGGGATAAGAGTAAATAATCTGGTCACCTTTCCACGTCATCATTTAGTCTAATGTTTACTTTGTAGTACGGGATTAGCTGAAACTTATCCCTTATTTACTTTGATTGATTACGCTAGACATGAACCATTCAAAAGACTTGTATACCCTTCATTATGTACAATTTGTTTTGGCCCCCTTCTTCAACAATCGACCTTCTGTAATTTTGCCCTAGTTCATCCTGACGACGCGCGAGAAGATAAAACGAGAACCAACCCTTGTGGAGAAGCCGTCGCAAGCTGAACTCCACCATAGACGACGACGAACGACGGGTGTCGAAACAAGTTTGACCCGCCGACCGTGCAGTGAGGGCAACTGCCTTCTTTCGAAAATCACCTTCACAAGTTTTAGGGTTATTTACCGACAATCGACCTCAGGTAATTTCTCCATCACTGAAATTGGAAATCTTTGTTCAACTAATACAATTTTGTTTGCTTTTGATGAAATTAAATTTCTTAGAAATTGGATTTGTTAATTGTACTGTGGTATGCCCGAGTTTGAAATTGTAAACGGGGCACTGAACTTTGGTCTGATTCGTTGTAGTTTTGATGCATAATTCATGACAGGATTTCTTATTTTGAACATTGTAAGAAATTATGAAGCTATTGTGGTATTACCGGCTTGAAGAACTATAACACGATATTTTTTATCTTTTATTTTTGTTTTGATTTCTTCTCAGTCTTTCCCTGAGGTTACAAAAGAATTGGATAGGGGCAAGCTTTTGTCATGATGTTGCTGTAATTGTGGATGACATTTTGGTTTTAGTTAAGAAGTTTGTGTCCTGTATTTTCACTACTGATTCTGTTGCTTGTAACTCAGTTTAGGATGAAGCCAATATGGCTACTGAGGAGACATCCTTTATGTGATGTTCTTCCTTTTTGTGCTCTTTAGATGATTCAGGTGTGGGTTGTTGTGGTGTAGTTCGTTGGCTACTCGAACGGTGTATTATTTGAGTTTGATATAT